AATAGATAATGCTAATAACAAACAATTATAAAAAAATCTTATCTAAATATATATCACTCGGGTAGATATGCACACGGGTCAATCCCGGGGCGAAGCCCGGGTCACCCATCTAGTCTATATATATATAAAATTGAATGTCTGTCTGTCTGTACTCTATAGATTCAAAAACCATACATCTAATCGCCGTGAAAATTTGGGATATTATTAGGTATATCCCCGGGAAGGTTTTTGAAAAATAATTTCTTGAATATCTTGAATATCCTTAGAGTTATTTGCAGATTTGTAGATTTAACTCGCAAGCAGCGCCACCATTGCGACGATGTTAACAAGTTTTTTTATCTATAGGTTTTATTATCACTAAGTTTATTATCTTAAAGATTATTTATCAAAAGTAAGATTATCTCAGGATGACACGGCAATTTATTTGAGACAAGAATAATGATACAATTCCAAGGCGAAGATATTATTCCTTTAACTTCCAATTACCGAGGGAACCAATTAATATTGATTTTATTCAACTTATCGAGTATTTTTCAAGGGACCGGGAAAAAATGTTCACTAGATAAAACGATGATTTTGTAATGTAGAAAATTAGGAAAGACAAAATTCAGAATGACACGGCACACAGGGACCGGGAAAAAATGTTTACTTTATCGAGAGATTCAAATTTACGAGTTTCAAATTATCAAAATATATCTATTATTTTTTTATAAGTTTATAGAGAATTGTTTTAACAAATGTTCGTTAGACAAACCTTTACTCGGGTAAAACCCCAGGCGAAGCCGGGTACATCCGCTAGTATGTTATAAATATATAATATAACGACTATTATTATCATTACTAGACGAATGGCCCGGGCAACGCCCGGGTTTTACCCGAGTGCGAATATATTTTAAAAACGTTTTAATTCAAATACTATTCGTTACAATTATAAATTGGCGCCATGGATGTCACTCTTGTGAAACGTCCCGTTCCAAACTGTGTGTTTTTAAAATGTTTTAACTATATATAATATAACGGTATAATAACGGTATAAAGAAATAATGAGCCTATAGCCTAGTGGTCATGGCATCTGCCCGGTAAGCGGAAGGTCGTGGGTTCGATTCCCATCCCTTGACCTTGTATACATCTTGCTTCCTAGGGTTGCCTAGAGTGGCCGCTATAGACAGGGTGGTCTGTATAGACAGGTGGATGTATCACACAGCTGATAACAGGGTTGCCTAGAGTGGCCGCTATAGACAGGGTGGTCTGTATAGACAGGTGGATGTATCACACAGCTGATAACAGGGTTGTCTAGAGTGGTCGCTATAGACAGGGTGGTCTGTATAGACAGGTGTATGTATCACACTGCTGATAACAGGGTTGCCTAAAGTGACCGCTATAGACGGGGTGGTCTGTATAGACAGGTGAATGTAACACACTGATGATAACAGGGTTGCCTAAAGTGACCGCAATAGACAGGGTGGTCTGTATAGACAGGTGGATGTATCACACAGCTGATAACAGGGTTGTCTAGAGTGGCCGCTATAGACAGGTGTATGTATCACACAGCTGATAACAGGGTTATCTAGAATGGCCGCTATATACAGGGTGGTCTGTATAGACAGGTGGATGTAACACACTGCTGATAACAGGGTTGTCTAGAGTGGTCGCTATAGACAGGGTGGTCTGTATAGACAGGTGTATGTATCACACTGCTGATAACAGGGTTGCCTAAAGTGACCGCTATAGACAGGGTGGTCTGTATAGACAGGTGAATGTAACACACTGATGATAACAGGGTTGCCTAAAGTGACCGCTATAGACAGGGTGGTCTGTATAGACAGGTGGATGTAGCACACTGCTGATAACAGGGGTGTCTAGAGTGGCCGCTATAGACAGGGTGGTCTGTATAGACAGGTGGATGTAACACACTGCTGATAACAGGGTTGTCTAGAATGGCCGCTATAGACAGGTGTATGTATCACACAGCTGATAACAGGGTTGTCTAGAGGGGGGCAGGGAGGTCACGTGTTCGGCGGCAGCCAATGGGCGCGCATTCTATCCGTGAACTTCAGACAGACAGAATAAGGCAATTATATAAGTAGATTATCATAATATTCTGTGTGTTCCTGAATATTATTATCAATATTATTCGTTAGGCAAACTTTCACTTGGATAAAACCCGTGCGAAGCCGGGTGCATATCCGCTATTTGTATTATATATTATATATATATAACTATACTTGTATTATTATTATTATTATAAATAATAGTAAGGATAATGGTAGAGAGGAATTCTTATAGAGCGTCATTCTATTGAACTTTACATTCAACCACCTCGCGTCGAGTCAAGTTTAACTCCGCCTTTGCTGGTCCCAAGCCCGGATGAAAAAGGAAGAGGGGGAGCAGTAACAAGCTCGCTAAAAAAAACTGGGTTCAGCTGGCCCGGCTCATAGTACCTTGTAAGGGCTCCTGGGATACAGGATGAGCAGCGTTTGTACTCCATGTTAGGAGCGGCTGCACATGGCGTCTGTTCCTCATGTCAGAGGCGGCCATTTCATATCGGAGCTAAGTCGGCCTGCTACTGAGTAGTGCTCCCAGTCTTAATGACAAAGGCAGACGCATTCAACTTCACCCAGTTTGGAGATAAGAAAGAAGAAGAAGACGTCGAATCAGCCTGTCTGAGGCTCCAATGACCTATCGCATCGCTACTGGTCCTACAGCGCCGTTCGCCCTGTCATCCGAGAGCTGTTCTCTATCATCGGCAGGACCTGCAGTCCTGGATCTTTTGAGTTGGTCTCGAGGACCACGCCATCACCATCTCTTCAGCGGCGAAGTACGCGATCTACGTATTCTTCGTAGACCACGAAATACGTGGTGTCGCTGGAGACCTGCTGGTGATTCTCCACCAAACTCTGCAGCATTGGTGGCGCCATGTACATTGTACATAGTAAAATGAAAGGATATAAAAGCACGAATGTTTCTTTTATACATAATACAAACTTCTACTGTACTTATTGCGAGGATAAAATATTGGGAGGGCTTGGCTCATCAGTGGTGAACCCTCTCAGCAGTTTCCCCAATTTAATCCACCAGACCGCTTCTCAGAGCTCTAATACTGTATTGGACGATTCTGCTTATATACGCAGCACTGAAGGGTGGAATCTCAGAAATGGTTTTCAAGAAAACTATGGACATAAGCTTAGGAGGGTTCACCACTGATGAGCCAAGCCCTCCCAATATATTTTTTTTTCATCGCAGTAAGGACAGTAAAAGTTTGTATTATGTATAAAAGAAACATTCGTCCTTTTAAATCCATTCATTTTATATGTATATATGGCGCGTTATTACTTTGTGTTAATTATTGTTATGCAAATATAAAATAATACAAACTGTGCACTTTTGCATGTATTGACAAGATGTCAATAAAATTATGTTAATTGTCAATTGTCTACCAACTCGTCAAACTGGGGTGGTAACTACACTACTGATATCTTTTACTTCGACACTCATGGACAAAAGCAAGTGGAAAGTCTCTGATTTCACCGGTCGTCTGTTATTTTGAAGGAGACAAAGACAATTTTGTTCATACTTAGTTATCTCGTGTATCTTCAATAAAGTTCACTGTAATATCTTTCAGAGTTATTGCCTGAATCCCGATATACATGCTAAAAGGTACAACTTCCTTAAATTTTGTCCATGAGTGTATCTTTCAGAGTTATTGTCTGAATCCCGATATATATATATACATGCTAAAACGTACAACTTCCTTAAGTTTTGTCCATGAGTGTATCTTTCAGAGTTATTGTCTGAATCCAGATATACATGCTTAAAGGGTAAAACTTTCTTAAGTTTTGTCCGTGACTGTATATCTTGTATTTACATTCGGATAGACCCAATATTGGGTGTGGAAACCTAAGTGTGTGGAACAGAAACAAAATTTACAAATATTTCTTAGAAAAATTGAACAAAGGTGAAATATTATACTGGGGGG